AAAATTCTTATGTTCATGAGGGCAGTGGGGTTTTGGAGTGAAGGGAGGGGAGGGGGGGGAGGAGGCGGGGGAAAGAGGGAAGGCAGGGAGAGAGCTTAAACCAAATATGACGAGTCTGACTCAGTGAAAGAGGATGGGTTCTGATACTCTAGTAGGCTGCAACACAGAACAGAACCAGCAACCTAAGTTGGTCCAGCTTACAGGGACATTGCGTTACTGCTCCGGGACAGGTCATCTCAGCGGCACTGCTCTGAAGTGCTGAACATTTTAGCATGGAACAACTCCATAGTACTCTGGTCCTATTTCATTAGTCTTCAGGTTCTCATCGGCATTGCAAAGCCTGGATGTTCTGATCACCTCTGTTCAGTTCATTGTCTTTTCTGTTTTGTTTTGTTTTAACTTAGTTGCAGGTGTTTGGCCCATTTTGGCTGAACTGACCCTTTATCCCCTTATCTTAGTTCCTTGTTGTTCCTGTTTGGACTTTGATTTTTTTAGGGACCCGAAAGATGCGCTTGGTGTGGTGTGGTGTGCGCCCTTTTGTCCTTTTCTCTGATTTTGGAGTTTCGCAAAAGAGTTTTGGGGTCACCTTCGCCAGGACTGGGACTGATCCCTGATTTCTTTGACTGGTGGCTGTGACCCCATCAATTTAACGAATCCTATGTTGAATATCGGTGTTCGCGGCGGGGCTCGGAGTCGGTTGGTGGGTTGGGCTCCTTATGGGTCCCCGTCGAAGGTACTGATGGGTCCCGGGTATTGTCAGTTCGGCTGTCGATTGATGAGTATCTTAGTATCGAGGTCGGCGGGGTGGGTCTCTCACTGTGTATTGGTTGACAGGCTCTGACCAGCGCTCGTGCGCGTTCTCATTCGCGCTGTCTAACGCTGCTACGGTTTGAAGGTGGTCAAGTTTGGGCTGGAGCGCGCTGTGCTCTCATCGCTAGCAGGCGACTCCCAGCATGGTGCTTGGTGTCCTTGGAACTCCATTGTGTGTAAGGAAGCGCTGGCGGATGCGCTGCCAATGGCCAGCTAATACTGCTTCCTCATCTTCAGCAATCCTGAGACTCCTGCGCTACGGCGTGTGTTTGCTCTGTGTTCTTCCTTGCTTGTTTGTTTGTGTGCCGGGGGACGGTGCCCATGAAGAAAGTGCCGGTTCAACAGCTTCAGTCGTGATGATTGATGGTCGTCTTCTGTTCTTCAGTCTCGATGAGTGTCTTCAGTGGGTGCTCGGGCATCATGGGTTGCTCTGCTTGGTTGTTGCCATTTGGGCGCATAGATTCTCTAAGTGTTTTGGTCGACAGTGCCTGATGGGATGGGAGTCGGGTAAGTAGTATATAAGGCGACAATGCTTTGGTAATGGCCTCCTGCATTGAGGCGTTTTCAGGATATGGGTAGTATTCCGACCCTCCTGGTGATACTACGTGCCGGGTAGTTGAAATGCATAGAGGAATGGCCACGTGGGAGATGGAGAGTTCATTATTTGTTTTGTGCTCTTCTTCTAAGGATGCTTCCCGGATTTCACGGTTCTAAGCTTTTGTGACTCTTTTTCAGCATGCGTAATGGAATGATTCTATGCATGCATCTGTCACTTCCATTCGCATTCTCGTTGCTGTACTGCCGTGCAGTTCTTTCATTCATTCATTCAGTTCATTGTTGATCAGTTAAACTGCTCAAAATCACTCGAAGACTGTTTGGGAACCTAGCAAAGGACTACACATTATCACCGCAGGTCAGCATAATCTGTGGAAGAGAGAGGAGCCCCGGGGGAGGGGGGAGGGGGGGGAGGGAGGAGGGGGGGCGGGGGGGAAGAGATGGGGAGAGAAAGACGGGAGGATTTAGGGTCGCCTGGGGATCACAATCGGCTTCAGGGGTTAAGGGAAACATATTGTGAACTGTTGGTGACATATATGCTCCAGCTCAATTCTGTATATTGGGGTGAAATGTAAAATATAATTTAAATTCTCTACCTTCACTAAGCTCCATCAATCAGTACACAACGATCGTCTGCCGGTGAACAGGCAGGTCCCAGCCCCTTTCCTGAAGGCCCGTCCAGAAAAAAAAAGAAAAGAAAAAAAAAGGTATCTGGGAATCCACGAAACGATCAGGTGGGGATCTACAAAAGGGCCCGCTACTACGGGCTCCTCGACGTTAAACCACCAGTACTTCTGAGGCACTTCCTCCAGGCGGCAAAGAAAAATGAACCGGCGCGGCCCTCATTTTGGCTGGCGCCGCCAGCCATTTTGCTCCAGGCGGAGCCCCAAAAATATACAAGCCGCATATTTGTTTTCATAGTGGGGAAACGTACTGGCGGTTTTAACAGCTACAGACAGAAGACAAGGGAGAGATGCTCAAGAGGGTGAGCGAAAGACAAGGGCGAACGGAAATAACACAGTCGGGAAAAGGAGCACTAGCGATGCATACAGCGCAGTAGCTGATCATCCTGGCCTCAATCATCGATCCTTGTGGCCTCTAGCGCCAGGTTCTCACATAACACAGTCGGGAAAGGAGCAGTAGCTGATCATCCTTTTTTTTTTCTTTTTTTTTTTAATAACCGGGCCCAGTGCCCAAGGCTGATATTACCAGTAGCTGATCATCCTGGGCTCAATCATCAGTCATTCTGGCTTGCTGGGGCAGGTTCACACATATTCAGGCAGATTTCCCCATCCAAG